TATTTTAGACATTTTCATCAAGTAAATGGCGATATACAGGAATTACTTGAGGGCTAGAAATTATGATCCTATTGACTTTGAAGATTTCACAAGTAATGCCTCATGGATTTTAGAGGATGAGCCTCCAAGTTTAACTATAGATGAAGTAGAAAGTTTTCGTGGTGAATTAGCTGTATGCAATATCCAACCAAACATCAACACTGGTATGTTTCATTCTTCTTGTATTGTCTTTATCACTAAAATTATATATCTACAATCATTATTTGATAAATCAATAAATAATTCCTCTTTTGGATATAATGTAGATGAAAATTTGAACTTTGAATTGGATGACGACGATGATGATCTTGAAAACGAAGGGGGTAGTGAGAGTGGAGGTTTTGGGAATGCAACTACTGTTGAAAATATTAATCACGTTAGAGTTGAACACCCCGAGTTTGGCATGGATTGGAGTTCATGGAGTAGAAGTACTCGTTGGGAAAATGAGAATGAGTAGAGAATATATTTTGTGTAACTTTTATCGAGTATTTGAGGAATTGTACTTTTATTTTGCATGGCCATTGTGATATTGTGTTTGAGATTTGCAACTTATGTTTACTTATCATTTGCAGATGATGTGTTCTTGTGTAAACTTTTAACTTGAGTAGGGATTGTGGTTTGGGGTTTGGACTTGGAATGATTTTTCTGTTATGTACTTGGATTGGAGCTTTAAAGTTTAACTTTGATATTTGGCACAGGTGTTTCTTTTATTTAACTTCATTAATTTTATGACAAATTGTATGCATTTTAGACATATTTTATATTTTTTAGCTAAATTATTATGTTTTATAATTAATATATATATTTTTATTTTTTTTATTATATGGCCGGTCCAACCAGTGACCCACTGGTTGAACCAGTGAACCACTAACCCAGTCTCTTAGCTGGTTCGATGACCGATCCGATTCTGATAACATTGTGTAGAACCCTCCCGCTTAGATAAAACATAAATGATTTTCATATCTGTGCACACACCCAACAAATTGGTAGTAATTTCAATTTTTTGTGTTCTATACCTGGCCTAATGCACCCAGGGAACCTTGAATTTAATATGAGAACCATCTAGAGCACCTAAGCAATATAGTATTACAAATTTTATTCATCATTGAAAAAGACAAAGTTTAATCAATAAAAAGGAACAAAATTGCATTACCTTGAACCACTTCTACATAGTATCGCTATAGTCCTCTTTAATTGGTTTGGGCTTCTTAGGCGGTAGATGTCGTAACCTAATGCTCCGTTTAGTAGAAATGATAGAAAGTAGGAGGGATATATTTTTTATCCTTCAAAAATGACAAGTAGAAATGATACATTTTCCTTTATTTGTGTTTGGTTGGATGAATGAAAAATAGAAATGACTAATTTTTTTTTGTGATGGCTAAGATTAGGGTTAATAATCGAGTCGTATCGTGTTAGATTCGTGTTGAGTCATAAAATTATGAGCCTTTTATATTTCTTGTTCGCGTGTCAGGTCATTTTCAAGTTCGTGTCATAAATTTGTGTCAAGTTCGAGTCGTGTCATCGTATTCAGTCTAAAATTTCCACTCCTAATTAAGATGAAAAAAATATTTTTTTTAATTAAAATATTTTTTTTTATTTTTTTATTAAAAATATATATATATATATACATATTTTACCATTATATTTTTATATGAAATTAATATATGCATAATATATATATAGACAAATAAGATACATCTCAATACAAATAATTAATTTTTCATCCATTTTCATTCGGATTTTAGAGAGATTGATTTTAGTGAGTTGGAGGGAAAGTTAATTCATTCACTTTTCCATCCTTCCTACTTTTTTTTCTTATCAAACATGATGTTTTATCTATCCCTCTAACTTTTCATCCTTCCAACTTTCTATTTTTTAATCATACCAAACGGAGGTTAAGTATTACTTGAAGAACTACAATGAAGTGCTTCCTAACAGATTCACTAGGCCAAATGAAATTTTACTTTGTTGGCCTATTATTCTCATTGTACGCAATTATGCTCAACAACATCTCTACAGCCTCCACAACCCTTACATATCAACAAGGAACTGACCCACGTACATCCTGTATTAGAGTGCATAATCTATCAAATGGGCACATGTCAATCCTAAGCTAATTATAGCAAGTAATGTCGTTGTCACTGATTAGTCTGTTGAGATGCTCCAATTGTAAATGGGCCCTAGTCATTAAACTTCGAATCCAACATGAAGTTTTTCTCTCAAATCTCCCACATGTCGACAAGAATGGCAGTGAGCGACATACATAATTTATATAATAAAATATAATATAATTTAAATTTTAAAAGATAAATAAAATAATTTTTATTTTTTATAGTTGAGATCTTTTTAAATTTTATTTTAAAATTAATGTAACGGCTAATATTAACACCACAAATTTAATAGAAAAAACAAACCTTAAGAGTGTGTTTATGATAACTTTTTAAAAGTACTTTTAGGACTTATTATTTTTCATAAATTCTTTTAAAAAAAAATAGTGTTTGAAACTGTCCCATCACCATCACTACTACCATCATCACCCCCACTGCCCCCACCACCATTACCACTACCATTATCATTACCACCATCAACCCACCACCACCACAACCACCCTAGCATTACTGTCGCCACCACCGTCAACATCACCTCTGTCACAACCACCACTATTGTCACCCCACCACCACCACCATCACCACTACCACCACCCCATCACCCCCACCGCCCAACCACCATCACCACAATCGTCGTCACCCCACCATTGCCCACCCCCACCATCGATGTCGCCACTCTACCATTACTGTCACTGTCTTACCATCACCCCTATTACCACCACCCCCATCATTATTACCACTCATGATTACAACCATCCCAACCGGTCGTCATCATCCATTATAATCATCACCGCCACTGTCGCCCACCACCACTCGCCCCTATTACAACCGGTGTTTAAATTTCTTTCTCTCATCTCTATCTTTGTAATTTGATTTGAGGTGTAAATACAAATATACTTATTATTGACAATTTTTTTTATTACTCCGTGTGCCTTCATGCACGAAAAATACCTGGTACAACTATATCACTAAAGACACTGTCAACCATCAATAATAAAGACATATATTGGTAATTTCCACTTGTCATAACAGTTGCAATATATTGGGAAAAGAGTCATTAACTGTCCAAAATGAAATCCTTAAATCCATCAGAGTTTGTAAAGTAGGCTACAACTCCGAACCACATGAATCACGTTCATAGCAAAAGTATACCCTAAAACAAGAATACACCCAAAAAATATTGTGATGAACTAGTTTCGTAGTACTTATTTAACCATATACATGTATTCAAGAAACTCAATTTGCAATATGTACAGATATGTATTGAAGAAAAATGTGATCAAGAGTTTTTACAGAAAAAACAATTTTCTTGGACCATATACATGTGATGATGCTTGAACCGAGATGACAAACCCTACATTCTTTCAAATACAAGAAAATACAAAAAGGAAGAATAAAACATAAGTTAGATAGTCGATACTAATTTACATGGTGGATGTTAATGATGCACAAAATGACTTTGCACACCACCTGTTAAGTGTAAATAATAAATGCAGTAAAAATAAAGAGAGAATAGGAGGAGACAAGATTTATAGTGGTTCGGTCAATGTGACCTACGTCCATTCTTGAATGACTTTGGTTGTCGGGTGCTTTTATTAGTTCAAGGGTGTAGGGAGCAGAGAGTACAAGTTTTGAAGGAGAAGAGAGTATAAGCTTTGAGGGAGAAGAGAGAGTCGTGGTCAAGTAAAGTGTGATGCCCCTCAAATGTTGGTGGGGCGTGCAATTTATAGTAGTCCCCTAACAGATTGGGGCTACTTTACAACAACTAAGCGATTACTCTGGTGGAGCTCACGACTTCTTTTCAACGGGCGAGGAGGTTGAGGAGCTATCCTTGAGATGCGGTCAAAGATGAGGCGAGGGTGGACTTTTTCCTCTGCGGTGCAGGTAGGGCTCTCATGCTCTCCCTCTTGATGACGTAGCCAAACAAAGAGTTTGACTGGTCTTGAACTATGTTGGGTTTGGTGAATCTTTCATGAGGTTGATTTCCCTTCAAGTGGTTATAATGCAAACCTCTATGTAATATTGCGATCCCAAAACCAACAACAGATTGACTGCAACGGCGGACTGTTAGTGATAAAAGGAATAAACATGCAATACGAATGGACAAGGGCGAACCCAGGATTTTTGTTTATCTCGAATTAAACTAAGCAATTATACGACTAACAAAATACAAATATTTTTTAATCTATTATGTGGCCCAAAAATTTTGTTTTTAATGTTGGCCTAAAAATTTTGTTTTTTAATGTTAGGCCAAAAATTTTATTTTTTTAATGTTGGGTCAAAAGTTTTTGTAATAGGTCTGGATAGACGTAGATTTTAATAAGTTTAGGTAGATAATATTGGGCTCAAATTTTTTTGTTTTAAATGGGTTAAATTTTTTAATTTTTTTTGGATAAATAATGTGAGCCTAATATAAATGAGGGGACACACAAAATATATTATATAAATATATAATAAATATACCCTACTAATAAAAAAAATAAAAATTTGAGGGGGGGCACTTGCCCACCCTGGCCCAACTGTCCTTCCGCCCCTGCGTAATCCCCTCTCTGTTCCAATCAAAATAGGAATAGAAAACCTGAAAAACTCTTTGTTTCCATGATTATTGGGCCTTAAGTCTTATGAGCTTTGAAAAATTGGACTAATGATTAGTGATTTAGTAGGCTGGTATTGATAGTTTTGTACAAAAGTGATAATTTTTTTTTTTTAACTTTGGATTTCAGTCCACTATGGCCCACTAATGGATCCGTCCCTGCGGATGAATAATAGGCTTCCGAGAGAGGAAATTGAACGACACTTCCAAAAGGCACAATTAAATACCACATAAAATGGTAGTTATTTAATTTCATTCACCAATACTGTCAGTGGCCTTAAATCGTGGTTGAATACCACCCCCAGGCAACACCTTTGCAATCTGAACCTCCAAAATTTTTTTTTCTCTGTACACATGAAAGCACGTAGGTGTGCTCAAGCCACCACACCCATTCATACACCCAACTGCATGCAAACTACGAACTTGGGGTATGAAAACTGATTCCACTCCTTTGTTGTCATTTCCTTGACCCAGATTCACCATTTTCAAATCCCTTCCATTCCATCGAGAAATGGATGCCTTGAGGAGTAAAAATAGATGTGGAACTAAATGTAGATATATAAATACCAATTGAGTTACTCAAAACGATGAGGACAAAGGAAATTTGGTTAGGTTATGGTGGAGATTTTGAAATATCAAAATTTACAGAGCAATGTGTTGTTGGGAAGGTTTTTAAGGTGGATAAAAAGGGTAAGCATAGAATTAGTCATAGGATATTTGAAATGAAGGTATTGAGGAAATATGTCATTTTAGATGTGGATTAGATGAAGATAGTGAGGGATATACTCACCAAGGTTGTTCATGCAATTATTTTCCGTTTCTTCAGTAATATTTTCAAACAAAATATTTGATCATGGATTTCATAAAATGGTGGACATCTTTTTAATCATATGTACAACCTTTCGGTGAGGATCAAGAAGGGTGATGGGAATTGAATATGCTATTGCGATAGGATCTGCTATTTCACATATTCACATGAGTGGATTTTTGCATTAAGATCGTAATCGTGATATTCATTGATGCTTATAGGCATGCTAATTGAGTTTGGAATGACAACGCAAAATTAATGAATTAATTAGATCAAATTCGGGGTAGGACTAAGAATACATATTTTCAATTTTTTTTATTGTCTGAAGGTCACAATAGATACACATGATGCTCATGCATTCAAATAAAATGAAGATTTAGGGAGGGTCATCAAAAAGAAAGTGAACCTTTCACCACGCCTAAGCAATTAAGCTAACTTTTTACTCAAATGATTGCAGCAAAATGACCCATTAAAAAGGTTAAGCTGTGGACCTAGGGGAAGATGTGACATTAAAATCAAGAAATGGTTTCAGTTAAAGAAGTGGAAACAATTAGAGACTAGAATGTTAGGTCTAGGACCATATTTACGATTTCACGATTTGCACTATAACTTTAAGTTGTATTGTGATGAAGATATAGTGCGGAAGGGCGATGGATAGAAGAACCAGACTTGGAGTTTTTCCACAACTTCAACAAAGAAGTTAAGACATTTTCAGAAGACTTTAAGCTCACAATGAGTTGTGTGAACGTCTAGGAAATCACATATATAAGATAGACACATATCCCTATGTGGACTTTTGCATGTCTAAAAGATTTTAAGCTCATGGGGAGTCTTGTATAGGTCTATGAGGTCACATATGTAGAATATGCATAGATCTCTAGGATCAGATTGCCTTTTTCTTGAAATTGGTAGACTGTTGGCTTTTGGAATAGGGTTGGTCGACAGTGGATCCCTTCATGTTGGTCGACCAACCCAAAACTTGTCAGGTTCAAATTTTCACAAAAGGGTGACTTAAATAAAATATTATTTTTTATTTAAAATGTTTATTGGTTTATAATGAGATTGAATAATATAAAATTTTATTTTATTTTAATAAAAGCATTATTTTTCTCGAAAATCTGGCAAATTTTGTTTGAAATCGGGCATTTCAAACATTAATAATAATGGTTAGTGAGAGCATTATATATAATAAACTAAATCCAATTAACTATCCATATCATACCAACCATAAACAACTAATAAATATCAACATTATTCATTCATCACAACATAATTTCATATAAATTCAAGGTGGAAAATGGAGACTCACGAAGTCCTCCCAAACCCAGCGTTCCTATATAAGTTCTATTTGTCAAAATTTAATACTAAAGTCATAACTTTTATCACATGACAATATAATGTGGTATCATCAATTAATAATATTAAAACAAATAAGTAAATGGACCTCACAAAAATTTATAATCAACCTGTCATATAAGTAAATAACTCATCATTCTTCCTCCACGTAAGCTCAAATAGAGTTCACCTTACTCATTTGGAATTTTATTATTGGCTGGTGATACCATATCATAAATAGTGACATAGTATTACTACTGCATTGAATATTTACTCTCGCATGAGGTAGTTAAGTTTACATTACAAGCCCCTCAAAATACCCTTCAAATAAAAGTTTGTATATAATCACATTTATATATAACGTTCTAAGAGTAAATACAAAAATATTTATAAAAAGAGTCTCTCCTAGCCCAAAACTCCCGCAAGTCTTCATTACTAAGTCTCCAGATGCACGCTAGTCTCTGAAAATATTAATAGGAGGACGAGCAACCATAGTCTCGTAGGATAATCATTGTCCCTAGCATATACAAGATTTTAAATGTCACCAATTCACAATCATAATAAGAGGTAATGAAATAATTCATCATTAAGTCTAGGAACACGATAAATAATAAATATTGTAGAAAGTACATTACATATTATCATTTGAAATACATAAGTGAAATATCAAGAAATTTTTCACATCGAAACCAAATCTCAAGGTTAAACTATAAAACATTTATTCTTGAATCATAACTCAACACCATTGATTTTATAAAGTACAAAGTGAGAAATATTTATATAAGTACATGAATAATAAATTTGGTAAAGTCATCATTTTTTGTTTTGAATACAATTTCATAAACTTATAATTCATGGGTCATTTTTTAAAATTATTAACTCTACGTACTTTCGTCTCCACCTCACCTCACTTAAGAGATTTGCTGGAATATTGTCCTATTGATTTTTTGGCACCCAAAATCTATGTATGCTATCTGTACGGACAAATGTCACCAAACTGACATTGGTTCACGAATGAACTATCTCCGAGAAACTTTTTAGGTTTTGTATCTTAGGGTCTTATCATCCTTCTTACTTTTTCAAGAGGGATGTGTAGGGCACAACTTGTAATATCACATAAGCCTTTACTAAAAATCACTACCATCACCAATCATCTCCTAGGACTAGTAGCCGCTTTAACAACACCCCTCAAAGGCCCCACCCATTTACAAACCCTATCTGTGGCTATCAAGCATACAAGTTTCAAACCATACTTTTATAATCACCTTTCATTCACAAAACAAACCATAAATTTGACACTTTTTAAAAAATACATAGTTTTCCAAAATCTAACATTTTTGTTTTCAACATAACACATTGTCAAAACAACTCATACACAAGCCAAAAATATAATTTGTACACTTTTATTGTAGAATTTCCAAATTAAAGGATTAAGAAATTATGTACATCAACACCACCCTTTTTATATTTTAGAATAACTCAAAAAAATACAAAATACATGATAAATATACTCAATCATATCATAAAAATCAATACCTCTTTTCACAATTCATCATTTTAATACTCATAATTAAGAATGTCAAAATATGACATGACTCTTTAATATGATATGAAATTATAGGGTTTGAATTTTATTTAAGTCATTTATCGTAAACAAATAAATTCAATATGACATTATTAATTGATAATGATAGGTTTAAGTCTAGACCATTCTAGAGCCAAAGATCTTCTAGGCTTGCCGAAGACGGTCCAAGTAACTCATCTAGACAACATTCATTGGGTTCGAACTAGGCTGCAGCCTAGTTCCAGAGAGGCTCGATGTTAACGAGCTTGGTATAGGTACCAACTCCAGAGATGGGAGTGTGGCACCGGGCTAGTCTACAAAAGCTGCATCATGACACGTGGATAAGAGACAAGGGAATATTACCTGACACCTTTGATTAACAAAAACCCGCAAGTAGTGGAGACGGATCACGTACTACAATCGGTGATTAGTGGAGCAAAAAGGCATCAGGGACCATAGCTCTAGAACAAAGACAAACACTGGGGACCATAGATCAATCAAAAGAGACCAATACAAAACCCTAACTACCAGTTATATAAATAGACAACAATGCTACAGTGCATAGAGAGAGCCATTTGACAAACAACCAAGTAAAACCTAGGCAATCTATACTACTTAAGGTGAAAAAATTTAAATTTCCTTATTTTCCTTTTAAGAATTCTATGATGTTAAACATGTCATATCATCTTATATTTAACTCTTAGACTCTTCTATTTCTAAGAGTAAAGACTCTTGACCTTCAATTTTGTTTATTCACTTTTATCTATTTGTAAGATTTTTAAATTTTAAATTCTTACATTACTCTTTAAAAAATTTAAAGACTTCTATGTATCAATTAATAGCTCTATTAACTACTTTCTACAACATGGTATCCTAAAAGTCACTTGTAATTGATAATAGCTGAAAATTCAAGTTCTACACTTTAACATACACACATCAATAAGGCAGACCAAAAGCCAAACGTAAATACAACCAGTAAATTCCAATCAAATACATAGTTATCCGATGGAAATGATCAAAAGGAAATCCAATTGGTTGCACTTCTTCCAAAGTTCTAGAATCTCTCTCACTTTCGAAATAATTCTCCCATGGGTCCATTTGATTTGCAAGAAAAAGATGATAGAAAGTGAAGTAAAAGAAAAGAAAGTTAAGGAAAATATATTTTTATGTATGCATTTGGTTAGTATAAAAAACTTCCAAGAAAATTTTAAAACAATTTCATTCCATTGTTTGAAGGAAAGGAAAATTACAAGAAATTGTTTCTAATTGTCTAAATTATCCTTAATTATTTTAACACGGTCTAAAGAAGGAAAAAATATTTTTTATTATTCAAATTAAAAAAAAAAAATTGGCTCCTAACCTAATTCAGAGGCAAGTATCAACTCGAACCCTAATATCTAGACAAAATTATATGGTTCGCCTAATTTGTACAAAAAATTTTAAAATTAATAATTAATTGAATAATATAAAAAAAATAAGGGTAAAATGAAAAGTTTGATTATTGAACACAACTTTCTTGATTTTTCTTATATTTTTTGTAAGAAAAAAAAGTTAGTTAGATGTGATAAAATCTAAGTATGGAAGAAAATTATTTTTTCTATCATCTTCTATTTCATGCTACACACACACGTGTAAAATTTTAAAATTTTTTATTTCTTGCATTTTCTAGCATTATCTTGACAAACAAACGGACCCTATGTAAACTTTGGTGAATTCAATTCATGCTTTAACTCCTGTAATTGTAGACTAGATAAAATCCCCTTCAATATGAAGGGT